TAACACTCTACCCTCTGTTGTCATCTGTCTTGAATGGCCAGTCCTGTGTGCTGTCTTCTCCCCCAGCTTGACTTCTTTTGACTGGTCCTTCCTGAAGGGCTGGAGGTGGCAGGAAGATTGTCTGTTGACTTGTTCCCCTTCAGGCCCAGGTGCTGTGTACTCAGACTTTGGGGGTGAAGCCCTTTCAGTGCTATGACCCTTTTTGTCCTCTTACGGTAGTCAAACTGTCTTGTATTCAAAATTGGTCTTGGGTAGGAGTCCATGTCCTCCATTCAGAGGGAGGAGGCCAGTACTTAATATCCAAGCAAACTTGGAATCCATGATTGTACCACTTCCTCCTGCAGCACTGCCTCACAGGAGATTGTACCAATGTGTATCTCTGCTCTCCTTGGAGGGACTTGTACCTTTTTAAGCTTCAGGTGATCTAATTGCCTTATGACCTCTGTTCTCTGATAAATTCAAGGAAAACTATGGTTCTGCCATTTATTTAACTTTTTCTCATTGTTAGGATAAGAATAATTCTCTCTCTCTCTCTCTCTCTCTCTCTCTCTCTCTCTCTCTCTCTATTTCTCCCCATCTCTCTGTCTTTCCCTCTCCCTTACCGCCTCCCTCTTCCCCCTTCTACAAACTAAGAAGTGGAAGTGCCATCCACTTTTTTAAGGCCCTCACACCTCCCTTAGAGGTTAGAGTCACACTCAACATACAGCTTCCTGGATATAAAAACTGTACTATACGACATTTTCAAAAGCTGTCATCTTTTGATGTCAGTCATTTTCGCAACTGTCATCTTTTGAATACTGTTATGGTTTCTGTCTGGAGATCCCTCCAAAGGCTCACGCAGTTGTGTAGACAGCCTTCCAAATTTTTGAATGACTCATGGCCCAATGCTAGGATTATGGGCATGAGCGCTGCACCCAAGTGGGTGTGGCCTACATACAATATCAGGGACAGTCTTCTCTCCATGCTTCTCCACTTTGGCTCCTGGTGCTTGTGCTGTTTTCTGCCACCATGAACCATTATCCTCTGCCTTGGAGCCAGCAGAATATGGACTGAAACCTCCACAAACCGCAAGCTAAATAAACTTTTCTCCCTTTAATTTGGGGTATCTGATATTTTGTCTCAGCAATGAGAGAAAGTGTCCCAGAGGGACTGGCATTGGTTTCTGTCATGCTCTACCAACATGGGGAAACTTTAAATTTAATTTTTCTCCTGAGGTTTTTTTGGACCAGAGGCCCCTAGAATTTTGACCACTAATCCATGTGATTAGTTTATAGTTACAAAGTCTCAGGGTAGCTCATTTTCTCTCCACCTAAAGCCAAAATTAAGTGAGATAGGCAGTTTCTTCCCTTCTCCCATAAAGTGGGTGTACATATACAGGCACATCCTGACAGGGTGAACACTCTTTGTGGTCTCAGCGTGATGTGAGAGTCTGTCAGACTGAGGGTTTTCTTCATGTCCTCTGCCTGAGACAACCATGGAAACAGAAGCCCTGCTCTTCCATATTCTAAGAGAAACTCGTAGAGTAAAATTTTTCTTTGACAGTTTCTGCTTTCATTTTGTGAGAGTTTATGGATTTCTTCTTCCAGTACTATCCATGTGTTTCAAAACAGGTATTATTTTTAAATCTCCCTCTTCCCCAGTGACTAGTTATTTGGGCAGGAAGGCCCTTCACAGCATGGAGTTCACCATACTGCTGGAATGGGCGCCTGTGTTTTCATGTTCCGTGGGGTGTGGAATGTGTACGGACCACGTGCATCACTCAGCTCCAGCATCCCAGCTCTGGGGAGAGGAGTGAGTCTCAGGCAGCAGCTGGAAGAGAGGAGACCACTCTTCTCCATTGCATACAAGTTGGGGTGGGCCACGAGTGTTTATCTGCAGCGGGTCTTTCAATCACCTGCACTTCAGGCTTGCATCATATGTGGGTTTTGATGTGATATGGAGGAAGGTGGAGTGTGTCAGGGTTTATGGAACACATCTGGAGCCACTGGGAATGATGTTAAGAATAAGAATGATAACTAAGACTTAATTTATTGAGCACCTGCTGTATACCAGATGCCTATCTGGTCCCTGAGGACAGAGCAACTTTAGAGACAAAACTCACAGCAGGGCTGATGAAAGTCCCCATTCCTGTGGGCCCTGGATTAGGTAATTACCTTTGTATGAATTAGGAAATCTTACTTTGTGCAATATCACCCTCAGAGGATAATCTTATTGATGTTTGTTTGATAGGCAGGGTTACTGAAGCTTAATGGAGATAAACAAATTGCCTGGGATCACACAGTAATTGGAACAGCCAAAATACTCCGGGAAGTCTGTTTTCATTCACTGTGGGATATGTGAAACTAGGAATCATTGGGGTGGGAAAATCTGATTTTCTCTTACAATGGCATTTCATTGGCCTAGATCTATCTGTCTCTCATGGGCCAGGTGGATTTGCTACTAGACTTCTTTGTTTTTTGTATTGAGACTCAAACTCAGGATTTTGTGCTTGCCAGGCAGGCATTGTGTTACTGAGCTGTATCCCCAGCCCTAGACTTCTTGAAGTTGCTATTTAACATGTGACAATCTGGCGATGCCAACATTGATGAGTAATGGTGGCACATGGAACCTACAACTAAGCACTTTGTTTGGTTGATGAGAAGTATGAATATAGCAACAAATTTTAATCATTTGCCAAGACCTAAAATTTTTTACATAAATGTTTCCTTTTAAAACAGTTTTTTTTACATTTGCAGAATATTGTGTCAATAGTACAGAGTGTTCCCTTATTCCTCCCACTGTTTTCTCTGCAGTTAACATCTTAATTAGTAATACATATTTGTCCCAATTAATGAACCAGTATTAACTAATTATTATTAACCAAAGTCCACACTTCATTCAGATTTTATTAGTCCTCTTCTTTCTTTCTTTCTTTCTTTCTTTCTTTCTTTCGTTCAGGATGTGATCCAGGATGTCACTTACACCTTATCTATTTTTAAGTCCTCTGGTTACAATGCACACTATTCTTGTTCCTGATGACCTTGATGGTTTAGGAGAAAGCTGGTCACTTGCCTTGCAGAATGGTCTTCAGTTGGGGGTGTGCTGTTTTTCTTCACAATTAGCTCAGGGTTATACATCCTGGGGAGGAAGCCTCAGGTAAAATGTGCCCATCATATCAATCCAGGGTGCACACAGGAAACACTGGTGGCATTCTCCACTGGGAAGGCTCTCTTTTCTTTCTCTTTCCATACTAAACTCTTTGGAAGAAAGTCACCAGGTACATTCTGTGCTTACAGTGTGGGGAATTATTCTCTACTCTTCACAGGTAGAATAGATACACTGAATAATCATCAGCGTAGGATATATGTCTTCCTTCCACCAGTGTCATTATTTGCATCCTCTAGACAGACTGTCAGCAAAGCCAGCTGTTCATTGCCCGTCTTCTCCCTCCCACCATTTGGATGCTGTCAGTGCCACTGTTCCTTGTTCCCTGGGGACGCAGCTTGGGATGGCTGCTAAGTGCATTAGGAGAGTCTGAGAGAGGGAATTGGCAATGAAAATGGCTAATGTTGACTTTTAGGTTTGTGTAAGGTCTTCAGTGCAACTTTCCTGTCTCTTTTCTCTATAGAAATCTAGATAGATCACTGGTGGAAGGCAGGGAGTCCAAGTAACTTGAAGACCTGATAGGTCAAGTGTCCAAGTGTAGGGCAAACAGGAACAGCACCCGTGACCCCTGGCAGCGGAGCATGAGCTCACAGTTGATCTTTGTGTCGTAGGAATGATAGTGGCGCTGACCATTTTCTCCCTGCTGTGACAACAGTTTCCTCCATAATTTTAAGTGAGTCCAGTACAGTGGGCAGGGAGGATGATACGGATTAGGAACCCTAGGCGTAGGGAAGCTGATGCCTGCCCAAGGCCAGCAGTCACTGCTGTGTGGACACCCAACTCAATGTCCCTTTCCTTCCTCATAGCAGATCTGTCCTCCTCTTGTTAGGTTGGTGGGAGGAGCCCAGTTGTTTGTTAAAGAAAGAGCAGCAATATTAAAGTTGGGAAATTCCCTTTGAGCCCAGGGCTTTAAAGAACATGCCCAACAAACCAATCCACTTAAAATGCAAATTCCACTGACACTAATAAGCAATATATATACACATGCATTTACACATGCAAATGAGCAGTGAGTGCGGGACTTCTGTGGCGCTCTGTGCATGATAACTACGTTCCAGACACTCCATCAGAGTGGAGCAGGAAGACTGTCTCCTGTCTGTCCTCACCAGTCTCCTTCCTTCGGGTACTCATCAGATTCTGATGGTGTACCTGGTCCCCTAGAAGCCAGAGTGCCACCCAAGTTCAAGGTTCCCCTTCAGCTGTGTGATGTGCCGTAAGTCACTCTCTGCCCCCAACTCGAGCCTCCGGGGCTTTGCCTGCTGCTCTCCCTTGTCTGCTGTTGAAACCTCTCTCTAGCTTCCAGGTGCAGTCAGGTCTTCCCTTACTTGCCTCTGGAGCCCACATCCAGCCTCAAGGCATGTGGGTTCTTTGTCATCCTGGACTCACGCACAGTTGCCAAAGCAGATCCTCTCCAGAAGAGCTCCACGTTCCCAGTGCCTTCTCTTTAAAGCATTCCAGATCCCTAGAAAGCAGATGGTATTTGGGGATTTTATCACTGAGGTCTGCATCCGGTGACAAGTAGCTCTTTGGAAGAAGGAGCAAAAGCCTGACGATGTTCGGGTAGCCCAGGTATCAACCATTAGCCGTGGGAGAGGACCTGTGCATGCGCTGACTTTTCCTATCAAGGACCCCATCCTCTTACTAGTAAACTGCTTTATTTATTTGTTTATTTTGGTCATTTCAGTGGAAGTCTTTCAAAGGACTTTTGCACAGTCAGCTGCCTTCCTAAATGACACCCAGCTCTAAGATTCTCAGGATAAACACTGTTGTCACAGGTCTGCACAACAGTGTGGGTCTTCCTGGGACCCGTAGGATTCCTACTCCCTGGCCTCTACTCTCGAGGACCTCACCTGTCCCCCAAGTGCAATTCTGGAGGTACTGCAATTCTAGGCTGATTCGTGGAGTGGATGGAACAAGCTCTTGCTCCATCTCTCTGCTCCAAACATCCAAAGGTTCATTTCACATGCTGTCATCAGAGAGAGGACAGATCAGATATTAAACTGATAAGAACAGATATTGTACTTGACCTTAGAATAAAGTATTTCGTAGCCAAGATTTCCCTAAACCTCTTGAGAAAAGGCGATGAGAAAGGAGAAAAGAAAAAGAAAAGAGTGTGCAATTATTTCATTTGCATACTAGAGCTATTTACATCAACATACTGGAAGTTATCACTTGATGGTTCACATATTAAGAATTTCTTCTGTCACGTGCATTTAAATGGCAGCGAGGCATTTCATCATGGACAAGCTGCAGGTTGTCCAAACTTCTCTCCCTCTAGGTTGTTTCTGGCTATAAATAATGCTCTGAGCACTCTGGGAAGCTGACCTAGGAGGATCTCAAGTTGGGGCCCAGCTGGGGCAATTTAGTGACTTAACAAGACCCTGTCTCAAAATGAAAACAAACAAACAAAAAGCCACAAAAGGAGCTGGAGATATAGCTCAGGACGAAGCTCTCAGATTCAGTCCTGAGTACTGAGATGATGATGATGATGATGATGTTCTGACAAATGTCCTTCACATACATCTATGAACTCTTTTACTCACCCTGGGGCTTTACTGTGAGTGGACCTGCCCTTCGGAAGAAATGCCTATGAATGTGCTTAGATGACTCCCAATTACCCTCTGGTGTGCTTGTTGTGGTTTGCACTTCCACCGGTGGTGTCCGACTTTCCAGTATCTAAAAGCTTGCGCCCTCCTGTCTGCAGCCGTGTGTGGCAGCAGTGGCAGTGTCCCCAGCCCTGGCGTTCCATATGTGCGCTCTGCTTTCTAGACCTGCAGCTCCAGGGGCACAGCGACTCCTAATAAATATGGTGGCTTACTGAGTGAGAGCACCTTCTTCCCAGCCCCAGCCCACCTCCTGGCGCTCCTGAGCGTAGCTGTCCTCCTTCTCTAGCAGAGGCAGGTAATAGATAGCCAGGAGTCCGCCTTGGCCTCTCTCCCTGTGTGATGAAAGGTCCGATAAATGTGAAGTGAGCGGCAATATTTCCTGCAAGCGGGGAATGGCAGAATCCATCACTCTACCCCGTTGTCCCTGCAGACTAGGCAGGGAGCTGTCCATGCTCTGGGGAAACCCGTGGGGAGATGGGCCAGGGCTGGGGAGGAGGTGGAAAGAGGACAGGATGCTAGGAAAACTCAGTCTCGAATCCCTGATCAGAATTGGACTTGCAACTGCCTAGGGTAAAGCTAAAAAATGGAATTTTCTGCACCATCAATTCGTGGCTTATTATACTCACCAGGCAGGGATGGGGTGGGGGCTGTGGAGAGCGAGAAACCATCGCCTCTAATGGCTGAAAGTGCTGAACTGGCCTGTGTGGTGGACTGATTGTGCTACTGGCCATGTGAATGGCTTCTTTGTATCTAGGTCCTTCAGTGATGAGCTCCATGTACTCTACAGAGTCTCAACTTTGTCATGTCTTGCTGTGACCAAAGGGATAGTAAGAATTTTCACTCAAGCAAAACTTCCCCAAGTTCTTGTGAATTTCTAACATGCATACAGTCCATGCATCTCCCCTGCACACGTAGCTTCCACCACAAAAGCATGCCTATGCTACTTTGCAAGAAGGGTGGGGGCGGTGAACAAGAGAACTAGATGGTCACAACTCAGGTCATTGTGCACCAGCCAACAGGCCACTGATCACAGTTCCATCAATCAGCTCAGCTAATATCAGCTGGACCCAGCTGACTTGGAGATATACTATAGAAATAATAATTGGCTTTTATACTGGGCTACTAAGGTTTGGGGTGCTTGTTACACAGCAGTAGATAACCAATACATTCCCCTTACCTGTATATTAAAAGCCATTCCAAAATGTAGCCTGAAGGAAGGGAGGCTGGACCCTGTGTAACCTGGGGAATCATACTGTATCTCCAATCCCCTTTTGGTGAAGTGGGCCTAGAGGTAGTCAACAAGAATCCAGTGAAGCAAATTTAGGTGTTGAGAGCTGCTGGAATCCTCTTAAATTCCACTTATCCCCCAGTATTTTAGACTTCACTGGTTTTCATCAAATTGTATAAACAACACAGGCTCATTATAAAGACAAAGGAAACAGGAGCCTAGGAAGTTAAAAATTATACTTTACTATACCTCCTCCTACTGCTCCTCATCTGCTTCATCTCCTAGAGAGGACCATTGTTAATAATTAGGTGCGTATCCTGCCAGATACTTCTCGCCGTACACATTTATGAATAAAGGTATGGTTTACTTTACAAAAGGGGAATGATGATAAAGTGCTGCTCTGAGAACTGCTTCTTTAGTTAATGGCCTTCTGACAAGTCTGCCTCATTCATTTTAATTGTTGGATATGATTTCAGGCCATGGATATTCTACAGTTTAACCACCTGCCCGATAGATGTTTGGAATGGCTTAAATCCTGTCAGTAAAATTAAAACTATTCTTTGTAGATCACGTCTTTGGGTGAAAGGTGGTATTTTTGTGGGATGTACACCTAAAAATGGAACATGCTACCTTTTAAGCATTAGTTAAGAGTTTCACTAGCTTTGCATTTTGGACTTATATTGGCAAACTGTTCTCCAAAAAGAGGGGACAGCATCAGAATGATGCCCCCTCACACCCTCACCAACTTTGGCTAATAACAATCTTATAAAATTTTTGCCAATTTGTTGAGGAAAGAAACACTAACTTGTTTGAAGTTATTTTTATTATGAGTGAGATTGAAATAGTTTTAGATATTTATTGGAAATTTGTATTTCTTCTTGGTGAATTGCTTACTCACATAATTTGACTATTTTGTCTATTGTCTTGTGAATGCTTTCTTATTTAAGGAAGGTCTTTATATATTCTGAGTATAAACTCCTTGTCATATGTGTCCCAAACTTGCCTAAGTTTATCAAGTCTCTGCCTCTCAGCCTCATTAAAAGCCTAAAACTGTGGATCTTACTATGGGCTTCCTGTTTCTCTGTTTAATGCTGTAGTCAGAAGGCAGAAACCTTAGGGATGGGTGGAGAAGCAGGGAATGAGGAATGATTGCACCCTGCAGTGGTCTATTTTCCATTACTATACCAAAATATTTTGATATCTGATAAGGAAGAGATCTATTTGGCTCCCAGTTCTGAAATTCAGGGGCGTGGCACCAATACAGTTTGGCACCAGTGAAGAACTCACGGTGAATGGCAGCACAGTGACAGTCCTGTGTATGTTAACAAAGGAGGTGCTCACAGGAGACCAGGAGCCAGTGACTGATCAGGCCTCAAGCTTACCCTTTCCTGACAAGCAGTCAAGAGAACCAGGGTCCTGATGACCTAATTACCTCTCACGAGGCTCTGCCTCCTAGAGCTCCCACCACTTCTTATTGTCACCACACTGGGGACAAAAGTACAACACAGGAACCCTTATGGGATGCACCTAAACTACGCCCAAACCATACTACATTCCTACCAGCAGTGCTGGTAGACTAACGTCTTCTCTGGGTTCAGCTTTGGAGATTTTATGACTGGAGGTCAGATTAAATGCATTTACTTTCCCATGTGATAGTCCCTCAGCCCAGCTTGAAGTCTGCTGATGGCCTTTGGCCTCCAGTACCTGTGGCTTTCTGCTTTATGTTTCAAATCTTTCCCCAGGGAATCGGCCCCAGCTTCATGCGGGCAGCTTAGAGTGCCAAGAAATATAATATCTCAGAAGGACCTTTAGCCACTTGGCACAAGAGTCAGGGGGTTCAGTTATCAGCTCCCCATCTCAAAGCATGTTCTCATGATTCCTGGACAGGTCCCCAGTGGGACTGAACTGTGGTCACTCACCATGGTACTCTTGTTATTTCTCTCCCTCATTGCCCTGTCTTCTCCACTCAGTGATTGTGCTTCTTGGTGTCCCCATCCAAAGGAACCACCAGCACACCCAAGTCCTTGCCCCAGGATGTCTTTTTGAGGCAATAAGAACCAGGACAGAGGAGGAGAGTGAGGCCCTCTGAGGACTGCATGTAACCGTGGGTGTCTTTGTGCAATGCTCATTATGAATGATTTCCTCGTCTCAGAGTTGGAGCTGGAGCAGCCTTCTCTTCTCCTCCATGGTGAGTCTTTAGCTGGAGACTGCTGGACCAAAGAAAATTTCCCTTTGGTCTTTTGAAAGTTTTGCTGAAATGAATGGAAAAAAGACAGATAAACAGAAGAAACAGCATTTCAGTTTATCAATGTGCACAGGCACACAAGAGTCACATACAATGCAAAACACAAGGCAGGGCCAGATGGGTGTGGATTGAGTAACTTCTTTAGAGGGGAGATAGAAATGAGAGCCTTCAGGCAATGTAGAGGGAAAGCAAATGACCATTAGGCGAAGTGAGTGGTCCAAAGGGCGTACCCTGGTCTGGGACAATATTCCTCTGGGCTCCAAGGATGGGGCTTGATTTTCACTCTTTCCAACAAGTTCATCATTCCTAATTAGCGAGATTTCCTAATACTTGAGCTCCTCTGGGGAAGGAAACTCCAGAGAAAAACCTCTCTCCGTGCTGCTTGGGTAGAGATCACGGATGACTGGGAAAGCGGGCTGCAGAGAAAGGTCAACCTTAGTCCTGAGGTTGTTTTCCCTGCTGTTAGAGGCAAAGTGCCACCCTCTGGGGTGTCATTTCCTGAGCCTCAACAGGACACAAGTGCATGTCCTGTTCCTCTGCCACTATTTGGCAGGAGGGAGAGTCTCTAGCCAAACAGCTAAGGGTACAATTCCCAAACTTGGCACAGGTCTGGGGCATGCAGACCTCAGGGCCAGGTAAGGGGATGTGGGCAGTGGGACGGGCGAGGCCAGGCATCGCCCTGCAAGAAGAGACCCCAGAAAACGGACTCTTTTCTTGAGGTAGGATAAAGTAAATAAAGATAGGAAGGAGACAAGGAAAATCACAGTATTAAAATTGCACTTTCAAGGGTCGGGAGTTTAGCTCAGCAGTGTAAGTGCCTGCTTGGCAAATGCGAGGTTATGAGTTTGATCCCTGGCATGCACACACACACACACACACACACACACACACATACACACACACAATTGCACTAAGAAAATTGCAACTGCAGGATACAGTTAGCTGGGGTTGTCCATATCTGTA